TATATATATATTAAAACTACTTTGGTAACACTAGAAATGAAAACAAAAGCAAAAGTTGAATTTGGTTTTTTAAGAGTGTAGTGTCTGAAAAACTTCTAACAAAATATTGTTTCAGTTTTAGAAAAGCTATACTATGATACAGAATTTCTTAAATGTGGATGTTGATAGACATGTTTTGTCACTTAGGAGCTCTGTTCTACTAGTTTTATTTTGGGGGGGGTTTACGTAAATATATAGATTCATCACAGAAATTGATCACACCATTTGTCTTAAAATTACTAGACAAATAATATGTCTTCGAAATACCATGATCATAAAAAATTAATTTTTAATTAAATTATAACTTGTTTTTCGTCTAGATATAAGTCTAGTACGTTAAAAAATCAAATTTTATCATGAGAAAATAAAAATTACTTACACTCTGGAAATTTTATGTTTTTACCAAAAGAAAACAAAAAAAAAGAAATTAACTCATATTGTCAGTCTCTCTCACACAGTCACCAGAATTACTGCATCTAACAGTGTGTTTTTTTCTCCTGTCACACTGAAACTTACTTTAAGAAAGGAAAGAAGCTATAAGTAGCTCAGAGAAGAATTACAAGAAGGTAAATTGCTAACATTGAATGGAGTTACATGGTTTAAAATAAAATTGAACAATAGCAGAAATTTGTGAGCATTATATGATTTTTCTTCTGTTGCACAGCTTGGAGTAAAAAGTGAAATGACATATAATCTACAAATAATTGTCTTAACTTAAAATTATTAAACAAAAAATGGAGCAAAATATTGTCAAACTACTCGGAGGTTCTAACTTACACAATTTCTGGCTTTTAGATTATCAGGAAATCAACTTTATTCTGAAAAAACTGTGTATGAACTGTATTTGTACAAAATCAAGAACAAAAGTGTTTAAAAAAATGGTTATTTCTTCACAAAACATGTAACAAACAGTTATGGGAAATGTGTATTTAGCCGTTCAACTGCTATATACAATGAGCATATGTTACCTTTTTGATCTTCAGGTATGATGTATATCTGTCTCCAGTGTTAGTGTTGTAAAACTTGTGAACATCGTGTGTGTGTTTTACCTTTACCGGTGTGTCTATCATTGTTCATGCCTTGCATGCGTTACATTTAATGGTTTTAATCCAGTTCAAAAAAATATTTAACCTTTTATATGCTTTATTAAATTTTGAGGTTATTAGTTACATGTTTAGTCATGCACTGTATTTTTTTTCACTGTTTTCTGAACAGTGTTTAAATAGGCTAAACTTGAATGACATTCAGTGGCTAAATTTCTTAATTATGTTATGTAAAAGTAGGTGATCAGAAACACTGTCATAATATTTGTCATTATAATTTTTTTAGAATTGCCACTCTCAAATATCTCAAAATTTTGTTTAAGAAGTTTCAAAAATTGTGCATTTTTTACAATGTGTGCCTTATTGTGATTTTTTTATCTCGTAAGCATTCCATAGCAGCAGCTTCATTTGATAAAGAACCTAATAACCTACCTTCAGAGCTTGGTGTACCGTGTATTTCATTACTAGTGTATAGGTAATTTCCATAACAAATTTTTATATTCATAATTGCATCAGTTTCCGAAATACTTGTTCTACTTCTGTGATTTTGTGTTCAAACCATCACACATTGGAGTCACACACAATGAATTCCCTTTAATTTTTGAGATGTTAGATTTGTTTTTATGCAGAGAGAGAGAAAGAAAGATAAATGCCAAAATAGAATCATAGCATACTATTGATGTTCACGTTTTCAAAAATCATGAAGAGATATCAACTAACATGTTACGTTTATATGTTTTAAATGCTTTGGTATGATAACTGGAGTTAAGTGTTAAGGTATAAATTTCCAAACACAGACAATTATGTAAGTTGGCTGTTGTTTCTTATCTGTTTTAATACTAAGAGGAAATTAAAACTTGAGGTCTGAAGATTATGGATTGTGTGATTGATAATGAACATTTGCCTTACTTATTAGTTCAAAACACTACAAACTTTTTAATATTTTTCATAGTTTGAAAAGTATAACTGCCATACATTTTGTTAGAAGAAGATGTAAAAAGAACAAAAACTTCCCAAACAAGCAAGCAATAAACTCTGCCTGAAATCACAATAATCAACCATTAATACTAAACAATAAACTCGGCCTGACATCACAATAATTAACCATTAATAATCCATTATGAGCAGTTATCCTATTATAGGTAAGTAAAATGTTTTAAACAGCACTTAAAGTAATATGAAAAAGTGAATTGTTCCTGCAGTGAGTGTAGTAATTATGGATTTATAAATTTGTATTATGTTTCCTTAATTGCATTTTTTTTAATTTGAGGTAAACAGTTTAAAAGAGTGGGCATTTTTTCTGAGAAATTTAAAAAATAATTTGCACACAAAAATACCCCACTAAAAGATGAAGGAAACTAACAATTGTATGCTAAAGCTTTTTCAATTAATTTGTGAAAATACATTTTGTAGTAGTTATTCTGTCTATGTGGATATTTTTGATGATAACACTCCATGAAAGTGCTTTAAAATATGCTTATTCTTGATACAATGAACTACCTAAAAGACAAGTGACATCCAGCAGGACACAATTTGAAAACGTATTTTCCAGGATCAGCATTTTTAGGTTTCACAGATTACAACCATAACTATAACCAATGGTCACATACATCTACAACATTAGTTGATAAACTCTTTATAATATGGACGTCACAATCACATCTGACTTAACTTTTCTTTGTTACACAGAAATAATATGAAGACTGAAAGTTTTATGTACAGGGTGACAAATGACAGCTGAATAAATGATGTCATCAATAACATGGAAGAAACAACTTGTAATTATGTCAGAATGAATTGTTTTGGATAAATATACAACTAAAACATCCATTTGCCCATAAATACCACAACATTTGCTAAATATCATTCTAAAGAAAAGTAATTGGTAATTATGGTTATCTTGATCTCCATACAATCTGAAAATTATTTTGCATTGGAAACGAACATAGGAAATAAGTTTTATCAATTATACATAATCCCTATAGAAACATCTGTAAAAAAAATACCACAAGCTGCAAAATTACTCTATTGGAAAGAAAGAGTTGGAATGTAGAGAAACTCAAATCTTGCTCTGAAATGAACCGGTTAATTTACTAGAAAACTTGTTGAAGTTGGATCCTTATCTTGTTGAGTAAAACACAATTTGACTATCATTAATTGTCTGTAGCATAAAAACTAAGTAACTGGACAATATACAAGTACATAATCCACAACATCAAGTATGTACTTGGTGATAAGTTCTGACTTGCAGGCTGAGCATAATCCAGTGGTCGCTGTGCCAGACTATGAAACCTGATACTAAGACTTGTCAAATGCTGTCTTAGGTTTAGTCAAATACTTGTTGTTTTTTTTATACCTTGCAGACTTGCTGGATAATTTTGCAAGCTGTTCTTAATGAATTTCTAGTAGGTTGTTTACATATTTAAATAGGCATATTGGAAATTTTAGTTTCCCTGGTAATTTGTCTGATAATACGTATGACTTGGTATTCACTTGTGCCACGAGAAACCAGAATAAAGTACTGTTGTTTCAGAAGTTTTGAGCAAAGATATTTAAAGAGCTATCTGTGCATAGAGCCATCTAATTTTGATCTGACATACCAAAGGGAAAACGCCCCCCAGTGGCACAGCGGTATGTCTGCGGACTTACAACGCTAGAAACCGGGTTTCGATACCCGTGGTGGGCAGAGCACAGATAACCCTTGTGTAGCCTTGTGCATAATTAAAAACAAATAAACAAACCAAAGAGAAAACACATAGTCAATAGCACTCAGCATCAACACTTGGGTTACCCTTGTCTAACCGAATAGTGGGATTGGAAATTTACTGTTATGACAAACCCAAAGTATACCAAACACATTTTTGTAGCAAAGGGCCACGAGCATTGAACAATTGGATTCATAGTCCGAACATGTAGGCCATGCCTAACCCTATAATATAATAACAGGCCAAACTAAGAAATCACAGATCTTGTCCTCAACACCACTGAATAACAACCAGGAATGCAAAATATAGTTGATCAATGAAGAGAACAAATATATTCTTGTTTAGCTCTATCACCATGCATGTGCCTTACTCAGTTGTTGTTTATGGTTTAAT